CCTCCGTCACAGAGCCTCACTGTTGTGTTTCCATCAGACATTCAAACTCTGGATCAGGATGGCTGCCGTGTCGCCTCCAGCCTTCGTCGTTGTGCTCTTCGTCCTGTCAGGTGAGACGTAAACGCTGTGATGTCATTCTGTGAGGTCACCCCTGCCGGCACATCTCAGGACAGTTTGGTTCTCCTCACCAGTTGCAAACAAGACAGGAAATGACTGGGTTAGTAATGCGTCTTTGTGGAGACCTAATGGTGTCTGTTTTTGTGATGTTTGATTGGTTTTGTTTTTAAAATTCTCTAAAAGGAACGGCTGAGATGTTTTTCTGGAGCATTTTTTGTTATTTGGCTTCAAATGCTGTTCACAAGCCAATGGCAACCAATGAATTAAAATCTCTGTTAAACAAATGAATCCTTTTTATTGTCTATGAAACACTCAGTCCTGGAAAACCACATCCAATCATTGTGCACATTTCCATTTGTAATGGTGGGATCATGATCCATCCGTCAAGCCCCTCTGCTCATTCCCCTCTATGGTCCTCGATGGAGCAGCTTAACAGGAAGTGATGCCAGAGCCGGGTGGCCAAGTGTCACGGACACATTCTTCTGTTTGCAAAGTTCGTTTAAATGGTCAGTCATTGCCTGGGTGGACTCTTGCTCCACCCACACCTCCTTATTGAAAAATGTGTCCAAAGGAGGTGTTGCAAGGAGGACTGAGAGAGTGGCACCAAGGCAGTTACAGCCCTGTTGTCTGGAAGTGTAGCCTCCTTAAGAGGAGGTTCGGGTCAGGTTCTGGAATTTCCGACCTGTTTTTAGGGTTTTTCAGTTGTTGGAGACGCAGAACTATCAGAAAATCAGGGGTAAAATTGACCTGTTCTGTGTTATCACTGCAGGTGGACCTCTGCCACATGGCTCCTGTTTCAAAGTGAGGGAAGGGGGCGTGGCCTCTCTGTCCTGTCAGTACTCTGTGAAGCGCTTCGGTCTCAGTCGGGTCTGCTGGGGTCGGAGCTGTGGGACATTCTGGTGCAGCAACATCCTGGTGCAGACGGATGAGAACGGTGTCATCTCGAAGGTCCGTATGATCCAGCTTCTCTTCGACTTTGGTTTGGGGGGTGGGGGTTCTGATGATGGAGACGACAGTGAAGCGACTCACATTTGGCTGATCTCATTGCCCCGCCTCCCTCATAGTCATATCATGGGCAAGGACGTGGTCAACCAATGTGGCTCAAATTTCATTCTCCTTACCCCTCCACCTCCTCCTCCCTGGTGTCCTAGACCTCCTCTTCCTCTTTCACCTCCTGCACCCTTGTGTCCCAGACCTCCCAGGGGTCCTCAATTATAATGGTCTCAGGGCCACTCACAAAAAAGACCCAGACACAAGAGGGCCGGGCGGGGGGGTGGGGGTGCTGCTGCTGCTGTTTGGATCGCTGGCTGTAATACACATAACACACAAGCTTTCAATAGACCCTTTTACTACCTACGTCATCAAAAGTTGCGCGCGCGGCCTGGCAACGAGAGTGAAGGCTTCCTCATTCACACTCGATACCAAAACAGCGTTTTAAACCCTTTGTTTTGAAGTTCTGAGCACATAAAAATGTCGGGTTGTTGCGTGTATGGATGCCAGAATCGCTTCTCTTCAATCAGTGGACTGAAACTTTACAGAATTCCGAAGGGAGCACATCCATTTCAACAAAATCGGAGGCGTCTGTGGCTGCAGGCCATCAAAAGGGTTGATGAAAACTGGACGGAAAACACGATCCGAAATGCTCGAGTTTGTAGCGCCCATTTTATATCAGGTAAGGTTATTATGTACTAAGGTTACATATAAATTTATACGCTTTATTTCATGCTTCAAATTAACATTTCATTCTAATTCGTCTGTATTTTCCCACTGCATATTAGTATAAACTGTATTTCTCTAAAATTAACACGATTGTACTCTGAGCACGCTAAAAAAAGAAACCTATGCTATACTCACCCTGCCATGCAGGTACAGTTGGCTGTGAAGACGTAGTTCTCTGGTTTGTTTACTATGACCCAAGCCTCGTACGTAGCAGTCTTGTGTCCTTGTCTTTGGCTAGGAAGGACTTCTGCCTTCAAGACGCAAAACTCAGAGTCTATGTGGTGATGTTTTACTTTCTGTACGTGGCCACAGACAACATAGTTGTATGCATCTAACCATTTGTAAGCGCCTAGCTTCTCACGTGTGTACTTACTGGGCCTCTCCACTAAAAACGTATATATATCGGGCCACTGGATATCTGGCCACGCACCTACATCTTCCACCCATTCCGTAATGCCACAGGGATCCGGGAGTCTGTTGCCATTCGTTAAAGTGAGTTTAATAATACAACATTCAAGATTTGCCGGTGATAACCCCGCAGCGTAGCTTGATAAAGCCTGACACAACGCCATTCTCTGTTGCCAAGCTGCGCGCGCATTCTCGCTGACGTCATATTGTTTACAAACAGTAAAAGGGTCTATATAAAGAAGGACAACACCTGTCCCCCTCCAGCTCGGCTGTGTGACTGCACTAAGCTGTCCTGTGGGACCCCCACCATGTAACTCTCATGTCCATGCTGTCTCTGGAGGAGCAGATAGGAGACAAGATCTCCTGTAACTTCAAATGAACCAAAGCTTCCTCCCAGTTTCTCTTTAAGCTGAATTTAACATCAGTTTATCATCATGACACAAAAGAATAAAGTGGAACAAAAACTTCTATCTTCTATTTCTCTCTCCTTTTAACTTCTCCGTGTCTAAGATGATTACGCTGCAGCCGCCGTCACTGACCCTGCTCCCTCCCCAAGACCGGATCTCCCGACATCACAGCACTCGGTCTGACTGAACGCTTCCAGGAGAAATAATAATGAAATTATGAAAATAATAACGTGTGTTTGGAGGAGCGTCCTCCGATCCTCTCTCTGTCTCTCTCAGTCGCTGATCAAGCGAGCGGAGCGCGCTGCGCGACAACCCGCTCAATCAACATAATTCACGGCCCAAATCCAACAGAGCCGATCGGGCTGATCCGGTTCGGGTTCGGTCTCAGGTTACAGCTCCAGCGCTCAGCCCTGCAGTACCACATAAAGGCGGACCAAAGTTTTCTACTCGGTAAATGTGGAGAACCCCGCTCTGACAGATGTGGATGCTGCGCTGGTGCCGCCGTTAAAATAACAAAACCCCATTCCACTATAACTGATTATGGTGCTCTTCTATGATGCAGAGTTGTTTATGCCCGCATCTCATGCATTGATTATTTGATTATTTTCCTCAGCTCTATCTATCCTACACCTCCCGGTCGGCTGTCGGGGGTGGGGGGTGCGCGCGGGGTTTGGGGGCCACAAAGAGAGGGCCCGCGGGCCGGCATTTGCAGACCGCTGCCCTATACCCTGGTGTCCTAGACCTCCTCCTCCTCTTTCACCTCCTCCACCTGGTGTTCAATTCAGTTTATTTCTAAAGCGCCAAATCATGACGAGTCATCTCAAGGACCTTCACACAGTAAACATTCCAATACAGTTCATTAAGTCAATCAGTAAAAAGTTTCCTATATAATGAACCCAGCAGGTTGCATCGAGTCACTGACTAGTGTTCTAGACCTCCTTCTCCTCCTCCAACTACTCCACCTCCTCCACCCTGGTGTCCTAGACCTCCTCCTCCTCTTTCACCTCCTCCACCCTGGTGTCCTAGACCTCCTCCTCCTCTTTCACCTCCTCCACTCTGGTGTTCTAGACCTCCTTCTCCTCCTCCAACTACTCCACCTCCTCCACTCTGGTGTCCTAGACCTCCTCCTCCTCTTTCACCTCCTCCACCCTGGTGTCCTAGACCTCCTCCTCCTCCTCCTCCTTCTCTTGCTTTGCATCTCTTGGGATCCATAGTTTCAAACCTGCATGAGCTGACTTGGGCCTTTTTATCCATCCATCAAAGTTTGGGATTGGTGTGTTAAATGGTGACGTCTAGTGTTTCCTACTTGAACTCAAGCTGTGCTGACGTCGGTTAACATTAAATCATCTAAACAACAACACTCATCTATTGATAAAAGTGCACCTAAACTATTCACTGGTGTTGCTGACTGTTGATGTTAGACTTTACATGAAAACAAACTAAAAATACAGCCTTTAGTCAGAACCATCACCACATGAGCGTATGGACATAGCCCGCCCATTGCTCCACCAGGGGGCAGGTTGAAGCCAAAGATGGGAGGTTCCCGCCACAAATTTTTTTGAGTCAGGCCCAGACAATCCTAACTGGGAAAAGAGGTGGAGCTGAGGGAGGGGCAGTTACGTTTGGAACTGGGTCGGAACAAATGAAACCAATGTAGCTACTAGCTGCCTGAAAATTGTAAAAATTCTGTTTAACAACCGTTTACCATCTATATAAAAATAAACTAGGTTTGCTTTTATTTTGTTAAGGAATCTTGTCATAAATCATAGAAAATCTAAATTCTCTTCTGTACACGGTGAAGAGCTGCCTTTAGCACACATCCCTAGCTGGATTTTGGTCCCAATGGTTATGGATAATTGCGTTTACAGCTGCAGTAAACTGTCTGAGCCATACGTCAGAGTCCTACTTGCGTTTATAACTAACGTAGTCATGAAAACTGTGAAGAGGATCTTAGCGAGCTGGCTGCAGGCAGTTTCTGACTGGAGCGTGCTAACTGTTGTTAGCTCTGGTAAGGAAAGAAAAAGTCATTTGTGAAAACTATGACATCATCAAAGGTTGGAACTAAAAGATGATCCAATCTATTCTCCTGAGACTGGCAGAGCTCCGGCGCCAGCTGGCTTTACAGCATGTTTCCAAGTGTCGGCTCACTTGGCCAGATCCAGTCCTGGACCACAACAACCGCTAGTGCGTAACTCAGATCAGGAGATGTTATTCTGGTGAGCTATCGATGAATATTTCCTGAAGTTACACGCAGTGATTGTTTAATCTTTCTGTAGATTATTGAAACATACTGCTTTGCGCCGCTAAGCTGCTATGTGCAAGCACAGAAACGAAACACACAGTAACAGTAAATGAATGGTACCGATTTTGGTTTTGAAGACGTTCACCACTCTTCCACGTCGAGTTTACCATCAGCGTTCTGATAGAGTAGCATGTCGTCCGAGTCCAGCTGTGCGTTCACCTCGTCGGCTAATGCAGGTTGGGTGACCCAGCGGCAGTCCTCCTGGGCTCTCCGATATCTGTTCTTCTCGCCACATCCAGAGAAAACAAGTAGTGCTGTCATGAAATAATTTTTTTTAGACAATTTAATCATGACCTGTAATTAAGTCATCTCTTTTTAATCTCACCTATAATGGCTGAGAATAGCCCTCATTGATGCTGGGCTCTGCTCTGCAGCGCTGCACTTCTTCACACCTTCTCCTTGTCAGAGTCAGACCCCAGCAGGAGTGTGAGCTGGTTCACCCTCTGCTGTGGAGGGCTGCAGTGCAGCTGCTCTTCTGGGCTCTGCCGCTTGGAACATGCAGACCTCTCCACCATGAATGAATGAATGAATGAACAAACAAACGAACGAACGAGCGAATGAATGAATAGATGGACAGGTGGATGATGTCGGATGTGTGAAAAGTGCTATTTAAAGATTTGATTCAATAACTTGGGTTCAAAAGTCCACCTAACCTGTCCCCTCTTTTCTCTTGGGAGACATTTCTAATCATTAAAAGTGTGATCCAGCGCTGAGGCCACTTTGAACCATGTGATGCCAGGCCTTTCTGGAAGGCATTCTTGAACTTTACCACGTAGGCTGGATCATCATCTATGGTGTCCATGACATGGTCCAGATGGCAGGCAGCACAACAGAACAAGAGACATAGGTCTCACCAACCAGCAACTCAGTCACATACCTGCTGAGGTGGATAAGGAAGAATAAACTCAGCTGGATATTTATTTAAGTCTGTTTTTCTAGTTAAATTTCCTTGAAAGTATTTACCAAATGTTCATTCCTTTTTTTAATTACACACACATGAAAGCATATTTCAGTAAAACTGACAGATGTTAATTTGGGCTTACCTGAATGGTTCAAGCAGGAGCTCCAGTCTCTGCAGTTTCCCCCACTCAGCTTCGATTAGCAGGACTGATTTCTGGTTGTTCTGCTGCTTCAGCGTAGCTGGTTCAGCCTCAGTTACTAGGAGGTGTGAAACCATTGCGAGCGTTTAATTCCAACGGGTTGGTAAACCTTGTAGAAGTTGTTCGCGCAGTTTTCATGCTACTTGTCACTGGTCAAGTTCTGTGGTACTCAGGCTTTGTTTAAAACGTCCAAATATCTTGCGGCACTTTGTTAGCCCGCCGCCCAACCCACTGCTATCGAGACGGACTGTGGTGGTTCTCTGGAGAACGTGAGCATTGCATGTTGTTGTATGGAAGGGCTTGATATCGACTTGGCAGGAACATTCGTCAGCCTGTCGCTTGCTGACTTGCTCCTTTGCGCTGTGTTCTCCAGTTTCCTTTGGTGAAGAATTTTGTGATGGCTTACCAACTTGCTAAAGTCTTCGCTGCTAATGTTTGCCCCCTCCCCTGTCGGGAGTAACTCTGAAATGCCCCATTATCCCCGCGTAACCCTTTTCTATCCATCTGCAAATGAGCGCCTTGATGGCCGCTCTCGCGGTCTAACAGGTGTTCTGCGTGTTTGTGTGTGTAACCGTGGACAGGCTGCACTGCGGAGACACATGTCTATGCTTCAGGATGCTGGGGCACTGACAATAACGTTGATTCTGATTCTGATACCCCAAACAGTGGCTGACCTTGATGGTCGTTACTGTGCATGTGCCTCAAGCAGAAAGGCAGAAAGCAGCAGTGACGCCGCATCAGGCAAGATAAAAAACAAACAATGCTTCATAGAATAAACAAGGTTGACTATTACATTTATTGTCGACTATTTTGTTTGTCGACGTCATCGTGACGAATCGACTAACCGTGGCAGCAGACATGAAGGTCACAATCTCAATGGCAGCATGAAATACATCGCTCTGTGCCCGCAACTAGGAGAAAGTGGGTGTTTGAGACCTATTTCCAGGGAGAGCGGGTTTCAGCTTCACGGGGAGGAGCAGTGCCTGATGATGCACTTGGGCTACTTTTTCTTGGATGCAGGCAGGAACTTAACTTTGTAAAAATGGAAGCTGAGGCAGGAAAATGCACGAATGCAACCAGAAAAGGGTAAAAAGCTCTATAAGGTACATTTTCATGATATGGCCTGTTGCGGCCGGGGTCGTTTGGGTTGTAATACGGCCCCTTCAAAGAAAAAACGACAAATTGAGACGTCTGAAGAGACAACAGAAAGCAGAATATTCTAGAAAAGGTCAAGCTACCCAGGTCTAAAAACAGGCCCCATCATGTCCCTCATGGGGACATGTCCACATGGACTCAGGAGAACACACACTTGGTTTAGGGTTTAACCTCTGACCTCGATGCTGCAGGTGGATGACCGGTACCGTCTGACAGGGGACATTCTGGATGGACAGATGGACCTGGACATCCTGAATGTACGATGGACAGACAGTGGGCCCTACTGCTGCAGGGTGGACATTGACGGTCTCTTTAATGACAAGAAGATGATTATGAACTTGAGAGTAGTTAGAGGTGAGCTCCAAGACACAACATCAGAAACCACATCAGGTCCAAACCAAACACTCAGTAAACATCTAAACCCACCCTCATGATAAGGTTCATTCCTCCTCCTGAAGGACATGTCTACCCAGAGACGGTTCCTAGTTTCAGCTTTAGTTGGTCATGCTGATGCATTTTCTTTATCTCAGCTTCATCCTCCAGTCTTCCTCGCACAACTACAGCCATAACCATGATGACTGGCGCCGTCAGCAAGACGATGGTCACAGGGGCCTCCAAAGGTGTGACGACAGCAGGTGGGTGGGTCCTTCCTGTGTGGCGAGCTCAGTTTGACCAGAATGGGTTCAGTGTGTTGTCTGTCTCCCTGCGTCTCTGTAGTCAACTGGAAAACATCGCCATCATCTCAGCAAGACCTTCTGAAGAAGAACTCCACCCTGTTTCTCTCGGACTCCATCACAGTGAGTGTCCACCTCGTCCTGCTGGGACGAAACACACACCAACATAAACTGGACTGCAGTGCACAAGTTCTCCTGTCCCACATGTCTTCTGAGACATTTGCTGTGTTTAGTAAACTCCTTCGTCTCCTTTAGCCCCTCATAGTTGGAGGTGGTTGTAGAAACCTTCAGCCCATCGTTAACATGCAGCTGAAATAGAGAATAGAAGAAGGAACCCCTCTCTTTTCTGTTTCAGGTGGAGGACTCTCTACCATCTCTCTCCCTTCAGATGAATGCTCCTGTCCTCTCACTGTGCCTGAGCGTGTTGTTGGTCATCACTGCAGTTTTCCTCTTCATGGCCTTCAGACGTACGTCTAAGTTGGTTGAACCTGTCCGGGCCTTGTGTACGCGGGGTTGTTACTCTTTCCCAGAGTGAAATCTGCAGCACTGTCGAAGGGACTTAGGGTCGGGCATCGAGCATCGATTAGAACCGGGAAAAACGATCAGTTTTTCCCAGAATTGTTAAAATGTAAAAAAATTTGATTCCTAGTTTGCTGAAGCCGACCAATACCAACGAAGAAGAATTTGCCGGAGTGTTTGCGTTACTGTGCAATCAAATGTGTGGACTGCGGAGGTGTTCCAAAGTGTGGCTTCGGCCAACGATCAAAATAGGCTCATCTCTGTGGAAAAAAACTTTATCTAATCATCCTGATCAACACCTTAGACTCTAAGGCTTAGAGAACCAATCATACCAGCTGATCAACTGTCGCTGACGCAGCCAACAGAGACCAAGTGCAGCATCGCGCCTCCCTCCCTCTTTTTCCACACTGCACAGGTGCACAGCACTATCACACACTCAACACACCTTCTGAACTTTTACTCCGCGAGAGTGATAAACACAGCACATGGGATGCTCGTTAAAGTGCGTCAACGCCGTATATTTCTCACAACTTTCACAGAACAATCTCTGGGCAGAGCGAGTTTTCACGGATCACTGCAGAAATAAAAACATCAGAATCATCGGTTGTGGATGACACCGGTGTACTGTTAAGGATTAGCTACATATTTATTAAACGATGTTCCAGGTAAATATGAAATATCAATGGTCTTTGAATGCTTAATCAGAAGACTTTAGTTTCTTTGACTTATTCAGGGACCATAAACACACTTCATATTCATTCAGACAGAAGATAGTTAATAAAAATGATTTTAATTCTATTTTCCTAAACTAAATGATTGTACAAACTAAGTATGAATGAAATATTGGTTGTACAGATAACAGATGATGAATGGAATGGTGGAACGTGAGCTAGATGTTCTAGCAGAACCTTTCTTAAATACCTGAGAGATCTTGTGTGGGTTGTAAAAATCTATTTGGCTGTATGGTTTGATAAGCTAAACTGTTTTTACAGATTTATGTGATGTTGATGTTAAAACCGTCATATTAATCTTATGATGTGTGAGTATACTGATAGATTAACTTGTTAAATCAACAAACACGGATCTGGTGAAGTTTAAGATCTGAAATGAATCATTACAGGAAAAATATTCATTTTAACACATCATTGATAAATGCACTGATTATTCAAACACTTTGGGATTTAACAAGAGATGATTATCTGACACTTGCACAATAATCACGTTATAAAATGTCATTTATGATTGAAGGAAGATGAATTTTATTCAGAGTGAAAGTGCAGAAGTCTCTTCTTCTGCCTGAGACCTTGAGCTGAGATATTATGGCTTCCTTGTCCGGTAACAAGGCCATGTGGAGTGCTTTCTTGTTGGGAGGCCAGACAGATGGGTAGTTATGTCTGCAAATTAAGTTATTTCTTGTCATTTTGAAGAAAACTCGACCTTTGGGTACGCTACACTGGGTTGTGCCCACTAGGAGCTGTTATGGGTGATAAATAAAAATATATAAATAAATGTATCTATCAAATCTCACAACATGCAAAGTTGCAAGATTTTTATTTGCTTTTTTGAACCATTTAGTCTTTTGAGTTTCATTGTTTAAAATCTGTTAGCTTGTAACTGACAGCAGCTACATTTCAATTCAATTTTATTTTATTTATAAAGCGCCAAATCACGACAAGAGTCGTCTCAAGGAACTTCACATAATAAACATTCCAATTCAGGTCAGTTCATTAAGCCAATCAGAAAAAAGGTTCCTATATGAGGAACCCAGCAAATTGCATCAAGTCACTGACTAGTGTCAGTGACTATACAGCAATCCTCATACTAAGCAAGCATGCAGCAACAGTGGAGAGGAAAACTCCCTTTTAACAGGAAGAAACCTCCAGAGAATCCTGGCTCAGTATAAGCAGCCATCCTCCACGACTCACTGGGGATGGAGAAGACAGAGCAGACACAGACACACACACACACACACACACACACACACACACACACACACACACACACACACACACACACACACACACACACACACACACACACACACACACACACACACAGCAAGTTGTCCATTGTTACATTGTGATTTCTTAGTAAATATTCTATTTGGTGAGAGATAAATTTTATTGTATTTATCCTAGTGGATTTATAATTAAACGGGTAAACTAGTAGTAGCACATCCAACGTCAGGAAAGCAAAAAGTTATTATCAAGAGAGGGAGAATGTTTAAGTGGTTAGCAGCAGTGTGCTAGTTGATGGCCCCCTCCATGAGGCCACCACAGCTCAGCAGAACATCGTTGTAGCTTCTTCTTGGGAGAAAAACACTTAGAGAAAAAATAAAGTTAACAGCTGAAGTAGCAGGAAATAATACAGTTAAAGAGCAAATTGTAGAAGAAAGTAGTCGAGTGTGAAAAGTGGTCAGTGTATCCTCCAGCAGTCTAAGCCTATAGCAGCATAACTACAGAGATAACTCTGGATAACCTAGCCTATTTAGATGGAGGCATGTTGGAGGCAGGGCAAGGGAGAGCCGTCTTTACCGACTGTACACTCCACCTCCCTCTACTCCCCCCCCCCCCCCCCCCCCGTCCTGATTTAGGCTAACATCAGATTTTAACCATAGGTCCTATCAAATAAAAATGTTTTAAGCCTAGTCTTAAAAGTAGACAAGGTGTCTGCCTCAAGGACTAAGGCTGGGAGCTGGTTCCACAGGAGAGAAGCCTGATAACTAAAAGATCTGCCTCCCATCCTAATTTTAGATATTCTGGGAACCACCAGTAAACCTGCAGTCTGAGAGCGAAGTGCTCGGTTAGGAACATATGGAACAATCAGATCACTGATGTACGATGGAGCTTGATTATTAAGAGCTTTATATGTGAGAAGAAGGATCTTAAAGTCTATTCTGAATTTAACAGGTAGCCAATGTAGGGAAGCTAAGACACGAGAGATATTATCTCTCTTTTTAATTCTACATTTCAGTTTCAGTTTCCCTTCTGACTGAATTGCTGCTGTAGCATGAAGGTGTAGCCTCTCAGTCATCCTCAGCATGATCATTCTGAGATATTTAGTTGAACACAGCTGGACTTTTCCGGTTATGTCGAAGACATTTGCCACTCATGCTTCAGTTCTAAACCCTGGTTAATGAGTAGGAGACTCAGAAGTTGTGGTCAGAAACAAACACACAGATTCAGTCTCTTTTTCTTCTTACAAATAAAAACATGTTTTTTTCTACATTAAGGTGATCTTATTGTTCATAGAATGAAATATCATGCTGTAGTCCAGACTTTTATCAAGTAAGACCTCTGGTTAGCTAGCTCGTTGAAATGAGTTTTTTCCTTTTTGATTGGAAGATGTTTTCAGTCCGTTTTCTGAGTCCACCTCTGATTTCTATGGCAGCTCTTTAGGGTCAGTGTTCTACTGGCAGAACAGTCAGAGGACCAGAACGTTGTTCTTCAGAGCCACACAGCATCTTCAACCCTTCACAGTAAGGGATTCTTACAAACGCAGGTTTTCAGGTAAAACTCCTGATAATTCCTAAACATCTGGGAATCCTGGGAAGTTATTTACAGATCGTGTTCAGATCCAGATGTGAGTTTCAGCAAAAATAAATAAATAAAATAACTAGTTCTAAAGTATCACTGACACAAAGCATACTGGGTATTATTTGCTCTGATGCAGGCCTCGTTTGGATTTCCCTTCAATCCCCAAATAAACCTGCTCCAGGTTGACGTTTTTACCTTTTCAGCACTTTGGTGACATGGTTGACATCGGTAGGGTGTGTAGCGTACCAAAAGGATGAGTATTTCATCAAAATGGCCAGAAGTTAACTTTGAACTTGCTAGCCAAACATCTTCATACAGGTCAATCTGACACCGTGGTGCCGATGTGAAGTCTATGAACTTCAGCCAACGTTCTTAGCAAATACTGCATACACCATGAGTTGGTATTGGTATATAAGGCTGCAAGATGCAGGACTCCTTATCTTTTACTCTCTGAATAAAGTCTATCTTCCCTGACATAAATGACTTTAAAACTTCATATAATCATATTCTGTTGAATGAACAATTCGTTTTAAATTCAAAGTGTTTGATTAATGTGTCCACGTGGCAGGAGTGAGCACCACCTCACCCCTGCCACGTGGACCTCAAAGGATAAACCATCAATCCTGCTCAACGGTCAACTTTCCTGGAGGGGTCACCCATGAAGACAGTGGGATGGTTAAACTTGTCAAAATCTGATTTGTCTAAATTTGTCAACAACTGTTATTAAATATAGGGATGACTTTCTGATCCAGTCAATGCCGACCAGGTGAGCAATGCAATTGGAACCGTTCTCTCTTTTGACCCCAAGATCACAGTCGCTCTGCAGCACTTGTGGTGTATGTGCATGGAACGTCTAAATTGAAGACCCTGGTAGTATCTTCTGGCCGGTGATCTGAATTAAAAGGGAACAAGATTCCTGTAGCCTCGATGTCCGGTAAACTCACCACTCCTGGCTGCCTTTACTCCGAACCGCCAAGAGCAACGTCACACAAGGGTATTGTAGACTCTGCACAATGGCATCGGATGAGATTATGAATAATCTCTAGCTTACTAAACCACACAGTCAAACAGATTTTACAACCCAGACATCACAAGATCTCTCAGATAATTAACAAGGTTTTGCTACAAACATCTAGCTTCCGTTCCATCATGTCATTCATCATCTGTCATCCAGTGCAACCATCATTTCATCCATACTTGGTCATGTATAATCACTAGTTTAGAAAAATAGAATTAAATTCATTTTTATAAACCAAATCCTTGACTCCGTCTGAATTAATACGAAGTGTGTGTTCCCTGAAAAGTCAAAGAACCCAAGGTAGTATTAAGTCAAATATTCAAAGACCAATCAGATTGACAATTCATTTGTATGGAATACCACATCTTATTGATCGTTTAATTTATTGTGTAGCCAATCCAAAGCACTACAGGTGGTATATAAAAAAGGATGAGTTGAGTTTTGTCCCTGAAACAAGGACAGCAGGGATTTATTCTTTTGGTTCTTCTGAACTCAGATGCATTTAGTCACTTTTAGGCGTTTCCAGTTCCCGTCTGAGTTTAACTGGTTTATTGCTGTTGTTGCAGGTGGGATCCACAGAGGAGCTCTGAAGTCCAGCTGGTGAGTCTGAGGCAGAATTTTTCACCACATTAGATAAATGCTAATAACTTTAGTAATAGTAGTAGTCACAGAATGTTGCACGCTAGGATGATGTCGACGCCAAAACAACCAAAACAAAGAGGAGACTCTTACATCAGGAAGAATCCACGCGTTTCAAAAGTTATCTGTTCTTTCATAATCTGTTGTTGAATTGTGATCACCAGAAGCTTTTCCAGTTCGCCGCTCACTTTTTTTTACAGCAGCGGCCTAAAACAATCTCCTAACACATGGGTTTTCTGCTTCCTGATCACATGACATGTGACGTATGGGAGGAAGATCGGCTTTAGAGCTGACATGTTTGTTCTCACGGTGCTGGGGCTCGTTCCTACGCCCACAGAGTAAAAAAAATGGCAGAGAATGAGTTAAAAAAACTTCACACCATCATACTAATATTTACCACTTTGTGTGAGAGGATGAATTGAAGGTCTGTGTTTAGCTTGAAGCACAAATGAACACGACCTCAAGATTTTATTAAATGTTCTCTAAGAATGACTAACATGATATAAACACTCATGGTGATCATTACTAAAATTACAGACAGGCTTTTGAGCCAAGTCCGTAGTGTAGTGGTTATCACTGTTGGGTAATTTTATCAATCCAAGGTGTCCTTAGGGAAAGTTCAAAGCACAGGGGGTTAAAGTAATCAATTGATCAACACCAATACCAATCATAAACAATCAATTTAGACTTTGCAAAGGAGAGGAAGAATAAACACCAGTCAAGGGTTGCAGTTCACTCTCATCAGACTGACGCCTTCAGAAAGCTTTTATTAAGCACACACAAAGATTAACGCGCACACATTTTGACATTCCTTAGACTCTCAGGCAGGAAAGCAGTAAAGGGGAGTCTAAGCTTTCTCCAGGTGCACCCTAAATCAACAAAGCTATTGCTAGACTTTCTCAAGGGAGTTTTACTGATAAAGGTCGGTACCAAGGCAACGTCATCCTCCTAAAACCTACTCCTCCCTGTTAGTTAGTTAAATCACCTGCTCATCTCAGCAGTAGCATCATTATTAGCCACTGTTTAAATCTGTTGCCTATTTTTCCAACCTGGTGTCCCAGAGCAAAGGGAACCCCAAGGTGCTGTTTAACACCATCAGTAGTATCGTCTCTCCTACCTCTCCTACAGCCTCCATCCACTCTGATGCAAACTGTGAAAATCTTCTGTCTTTCTTTGTGGACAAAGTTAATAAGGTTGGATCTAGCATCTCTACTCCAGCCTTATATCTACCTTTCTCGAATCCAACCCGACCAGTCCTCCTTAATAGTTTTGCTCCTGGTTTATGGCCTGAGCTAACCAATCTAGTTAACTCTTTGAAGACTTCTGCAATGCTCCTGGACATCTTACCCTCTTCTCTGTTTGAAAATGCTCTTCAGTCCATCGGTTCCAGCGTTTACGCTTCAGTAGCCCAGTACTGAAATAACATGCTATGTTAGCACACATCAAGCTTAAACAAAAACAAAGTAAAAGGGCAGATGAAAACATGTTTCCGCCCGGTTTCGAACCGGGGACCTTTCGCGTGTGAGGCGAACGTGATAACCACTACACTACGGAAACAGATAGTGACATATGTCCCCACGTTGTACTGAAAGCAATCAGTGTGCACCAAGCCCCCACTATGCGGAACAGAAATTGAGGCAAATGCGGAAGTGAAATAAATTGCAGTTCCACCCTCATCCACTGGGGGCTGGTGTCAGAAGCGAGCAAATCCTCATTGACTCCCATGTTAAAAATACCAATTTCACAGCAGAAATAAACATGTTTACAGCCTGGTACCAAAACATGTTTTAGGTTTAAATGATCTAGTTTACATTCATGACAACTCTGAGGGGGGTGAATTTTTTTTGTCACTCTTCTGTTTAAATGTATTAAAAGCCTAAAATTTTGTATAATTAATGAGCATCAGACCCGCGTGACTGCAGAGCTAGCTCCGGGGAAAGGCCCCAGCCTCGCCTGAAAACTGTTCAGTCAGTTTCAGTCTCTCAACTTAGACCATTAGTTGCAGTGTGTGTGTATTCTTTTTTGGATATTATTGTGCAATTGTTGGACAAAACTACTTGGTGTGGTATTAATTGCACTAATAGCCAAGGAGGCTCCACTTCATTTTTTTCGGTAAGTAAAGTTATATTTATGTATTTTAGGTCACTGCCGAGCTGAGCTTAGATTTTAACATGTACTGTTTAACCATGAAATTTAAATGTAATAGGGTAAAACCCAGTGCATTTAACATAATGCTGCACTTTGGAAAATAGGTTGAAATATAACATGTTGGTGGAGCTGGGTTCCGACTATCGGCTTGTGGAGCTCTCAGGAGACCTGTTTTCCACCCGTTTCTCCCCACCCCACTGCTCGGTGCATCTCTGTCTGATCGCGGCTCCTGTCTGCTGCGCGGGCTGCCGGCTTGTGGAGCTCTCGGGAGACCTCTGTGTTCCACCCGGTTTTACCCAGCGGTCAGCCCAGCGTATCTCTGACTCAGAAGCTCTGGTGTTGTGCACAGTTAACTCTGGTTGTAGCTAGGTTGCTAGCTCCGTTAGCTTAGCTCCCACCTCCGCGTCAGCTTTGGGTTAGCTTCAGATTAGCTTGTAGCTAGTTTGATCGGGTGTCGTCAGTTGATCCCGGCCTTACAGCCCCACCCTCAGCTCCACCTCTCTTCCCTTTTGTGGAATTGTCTGGGCTTGACGGAACCTGTGACACGGTCAAAATGGCGGTGGTGGCCACCTCCCATTTCTCCTCAAAAACGTGTTATTGGAGTCTATGGAAAGCCATTGTCCATATATGTATATGTCGAGGGTGTGCACCCGTGAGTTATTTCCGGTGACATTAGTGGTGGTGGTCCCCATCTTTAAGAAGGGTGACCTGAGGGTGTGTTCCAACTATAGGGGGATCACACTCCTCAGCCTCCCTGGAAAGGTCTACGCCAAGGTACTGGAGAGGAGGGTCCGATCGATAGTTGAATCTCAGATAGAGGAGGAGCAATGTGGTTTTCGTCCTGGCCGTGGAACTGTGGACCAGCTCTATACCCTTGCAAGGGTGATGGAGGGGGCATGGGAGTTTGCCCAACCAATCCACATGTGCTTTGTGGATTTGGAGAAGGCTTATGACCGTGTCCCCAGGGGCACCCTGTGGGGGACGCTCCAGGAGTATGGGGTGGGTGGCTTTCTGTTAAGGGCCATTCAGTCCCTTTACCAGAGGAGCGTGAGTTTGGTCCGCATAGCCGGTAGTAAGTCGGACCTGTTCCCAGTGAGGGTTGGACTCCGCCAGGGCTGCCCTTTGTCACCGGTTCTGTTCATCACTTTTATGGACAGAATTTCTAGACGCAGCCGTGGTGTGGAGTGTGTCGAGTTTGGTGGCAGGAGAATCTCGTCTCTGCTTTTTGCGGATGATGTGGTCCTCCTAGCTTCATCCAGCTCTGACCTTCAGCTCTTGCTGGGTAGGTTCGCGGCCGAATGTGAAGCGGCTGGGATGAGGATCAGCACCTCCAAATCTGAGACCATGGTTCTCGACCGGAAAAGGGTGGCTTGCCACCTCCGGGTCGGGGGAGAGGTCCTACCTCAAGTGGAGGAGTTTAAGTATCTCGGGGTCTTGTTCACGAGTGAGGGTAGGAGGGATCGGGAGATCGACAGGCGGATTGGTTCGGCGTCTGCAGTGATGCGGACGCTGAGCCGATCTGTCGTGGGGAAGAGGGAGCTGAGCCAGAAAGCCAGGCTCTCGATTTACCGGTCGATCTACGTCCCAATCCTCACCTATGGTCATGAGCTTTGGGTAATGACCGAAAGAACGAGATCGCGGATACAAGCGGCCGAAATGAGTTTCCTCCGTAGGGTGGCCGGGCTCAGCCTTAGAGATAGGGTGAGGAGCTCGGACATTCGGGAGGGACTCTGAGTAGAACCGCTGCTCCTCCGGATCGAAAGGAGCCAGTTGAGGTGGTTTGGGCATCTGGTCAGGATGCCTCCTGGACGCCTCCCCGGGGAGGTGTTTCGGGCATGTCCTGCCGGCAGAAAGCCCCCGGGTCGACCCAGGACACGTTGGAGAGGTTACATCTCCAATCTGGTCCGAGAACGCTTTAGGGTCCTGCCGGAGGAGCTGGTGGACAAGGCCGGGGAGAGGACGGCCTGGAGCTCCCTAATTGGGATGCTGCCCCCGCGACCCGGACCCGGATAAGCGGAGGAAGACGAAGACGAAGACATTAGAGGCCTGCGCACTGAAAGCTTTTATCTGATATTTGATCCATTTTACGGCTGGACTGCCACCATCACGGCACATCATCAGAATGCCTCGTCTCACAACGGTGGGCACCATGACCACACAGTCACCTTCAAATACAGCACGAAATAATTCTTAAAAATGTGACTCTTAAAAAACCCCAGTAAATACGCTGAAAAACGCTGGCAGCGAAGGGCTTTTCTGATCAGGAAACGGCTGGCAGTTAATGAGTTAATGAAAACGTTTTGGTCAGGGTGCGTTATGAAAGGGGTTATCCTCTCTAATCTTTTTGCCAGGGCTTTACAAATGTTTTTGAGATCAACATTAATAAGGGATATGGGACGATAGCTGGTAGGAACTACAGGGTTTTTTCCTGGTTTTAACAGGAGACTAATATTGGCTGAATTTATGTTCGACTGTAGCCTACCATTTTCTTTAATTTCTCTCTGTTGTATGGAGTATAATCAGACTGGTCAATGTATGGAATTAAGTCTGAATTATGTCTCTCAATAAGTAAAATCAATTCTAGGCTCCCCAAGGTGTATTCGTGTGTGTGTGTGTGTGTGTGTCCCTACAGCCTTGCTTCTTATCACCCCTGAAGTCGTAAATTGCTAGTTGCCGTCACCAAGCTGTTTCGGTCTCACGGTTCTGTGGTAACCTTTTTGACCTCCAGAGAAGTGGAGGAGGCAAGGAGGCTCATTTTGAAGAAAGTCCAGGTGCACCAGCTAATGGTTAATCCAAACAAGACATTGACTTTT